TGAATGTTTAAGGAGAGGAAGAGAGTTTCATAACTTATGGAGAATCCAAATTGTGAGACAGGCTGTGAAGGGGACATATGAAGTCCTGCATAATGTGACCTGTAGCTGAGGACTAAACTCAACAGTTATAATTTACATATTGTTTATTTTTTGGTAGAGCCTGTGATGTTTCTGATGTGGGTAAACCTGGAACAAATATGTTCCACCTGTTGTGGAGTACTCATTGCCTTAAGAGAGAACAGTTAAATTGGCCAAAAGAAGAAAGATGCAAGATTTTGCAATGCAGCCAGGCAAATAAATGGGGAACATTTGGGTTCTAGTAACAGAGACCAGAACCACAACACAGTGGTTCTAGTCAATGAAGAATTTATTGGCTAATAAGTTGTTTGTTGAGGAGAAAAAACCAAAACAAACAACTATAAGTGAGTGGAAACCTAAACCTGGATGACATTTACCATTTTGAGACTATGCAATAAAAGAATCTTACAAGCATTGTTAAAATATTTGATTTTAAGCTACTTTTAGCGAAGTTCTCACATATTTTGGTGACAACCATAAAACAGATAGGAAGAGGAGTCCTTGAAGGTCCTGCCTCTCTGAAACCATATCGGGAATTCTGTCACTTCAAATCCTTCCAAAAATTGGAAGGATCTGATGTAGACAGACTGTGCTACAGATGAGCTCCTGTTTCTGAGGAATGTCGCCTTAAAGACAGGAATATTTAATTTGTTGTGATAGAGTTGTCTCATTTCTCTGCTTTCAGAGTTTTCAGCATGTGTAAATAAATAATTGTATATTCATTGCAGCAAGCCCTGAAAATCAGCTCTCCTCTAAAATCCAAACTATAAAGCACTTTTTCTTAGGCCCAAAGTGATTTCTCTTGCATTGAGTTAGAGTAAAAAAAATCAATTAATTTTGTCCTCTAATGAAGACTAATTTATGGATTTACTAAAATCAGATTTGATGCAACTCAAACATTTGCAAGATTATTCACTCAAAAAAAAAAAAGTAAAAACAAAAAACCCTTCCAGCCCTAATGAAGTACCAGACTCCAAGATGGCACAGTTTCCAGGCATGTGAAGGGATTTTTATTACTCAGATCTGCTTCTAAACCATCCTCTTTGATTGCTTCTAGCAAATAAACTGGTGTATGCAAGTGTGAATAGCATAGCACCATGTAATACTAGTGGAGTTCATTAGAGTTTGTTGTAACTCCAATTTTGAGGCTGTTAAATGTTTGCTCAAGTATAAATGTAAGGGGAAAAACAAATAGAATTAAATATTGTGCCTGTGTACAATACTTCAATACAAATTCAATTTGTACTTGTACCTGTGGCCCTGAACAACACTGAAATTCAAAAAAAAAAAAAGCAATGGATATTGCATTATGGTTAAGAAATTGTCAGGTAGTTAAAGAAACAGGCTACTTGTCCAGTCTGTTCAAAAGACTGAACTAAACCTCAAGCTGACCTCAAGATTTACAAGCTGAAGGAAACAGAATCAAAACCAATAAATTACCAAAATCTCATTCAAGAAGAATGACAAAAGCCATGATCCTGAAGCAGACCACCCTGCAGGTATTTCACAGTGCCTGTCATTCCCTAATCACATCTCCTGGCACTGCTTCTGGTGACTTAGACATAGCTCTGGTTTTGACTTAGACCAAATCAATTCTAAATAAATCAAATGTTAGCTGCTGAATTTTCTGGAAAGTTTGGGATTAAAATAACTTTCGCATTCTTTGTCTACCCGAAAAAAAAAAAAATAGGAGTTTCTCTCCTCATAGCATTGCATGTGTTCACATCTTGGCTGCTGGTAGGGACAAGCTGTAACTAAGTAATAACATTTTTCTGCCTAGACTTGTGCCTGTGTAGAGTATATTTCACTGTTCAGTAGCCTGTTGAACTAGGCAAGAAGGGGAAGGGAAAGACTTATTTCCATATTATCTGCACATGCTTGGCACACAGTCCTTTGGAGCAATTGCATAATTAGAAAACAGGATGATATGGAAGGGATTATGTGTGGGTTTTTTGGGTTTTTTTTTTAATATATAGTCCTCCTTCAAATATGTTTTGTTCTAAATAGCTATGTGAATATTAAAGTAACAACTTCTCATTCCTAATACGTTGCCTAAAACAAATAAGTAAACAAAGTAAGCCTTGCAAAGATCCTCCCCTCCCCACTGAGTCTCCCTCAGCATTATACAAAGAATTATAAACCATGTTAGAAACATCATTAAATATGTGCCATAACAGACAAAATAGTAAAACCAGACCCAAGTCACATTGCTGAAGGATGCTGGAAAGTGTTACAGGTTGCAGCCTTGAAAACAATTTTTTTCAAGTCCAACTTTGCACCTGTTTGAGTTTTTAAACAAAATACCCCCATTTTTATTAGATGGCCTTTAGTTAATTTTCTGTTAAAAGTGTACATACTGTTCTGCTTCAGCTGGTTTTATTGAACTTAGAAGCTCAAGATTCAAGCAGCAGGTGCCATTATACTGCTGAGCACCTAGCTTTACAATTTCTTCTGCTTTTATCTTGGTAGAATCAAAGAGTCATTGCTGCAAATTTGGTACTGCCTCCTCTGTTTCACTTCAGGGTTTTATTTCTATATTATTGGCAAAAGGTGTTGGGTGGGAAAGTGGGAAGAGAGCAGTCTGGTTTTGTGCTGAGCTCTTGAAGCAGTGACACTGTTGGCCTGTGACATCTCCTGCTGTGCATGAAGGGTCTGATGTCAAAGGAATTTCCCCAGGGTGAATTGACAGGACAACCCTTGTCCTTTAGTCTTTTTTTTTTTTTTTTTTTTTTTTTTTTTTTTTTTTTTGTGTGTGTGCCTAGACTGCCAAATCAGAGATCTTTCCCAAGAGCCTAATGGCCATATCAGTTCAGAGGGCGGGGATTCACTGCTTTTTGTGGGGCAGATTGTCGGAATCTGTGCTATTGGTGATTCCAAGATTGTAGAAAGTCTCTGTCTTTCTGCCCCATTGCCAAAGCAGAAGCCATAATTCGTCTGTGCTGGTTTCAAGGTTGTTTATTCTGTTTATCTCTAACATGTTCTGTTGCCCTGCCGCAGCTCTGTCCTGCAGGGCAGCGTGTGGGGCTCTGCCCTCAGTGGGATGTTACAAACGTTATATACCAGAAACTACCTGTGCTATATTTACAATAATGTGCCAATATCTGTCACCTACCTTGAACAGTGTGTCCCCAGCCTAAACCAACAGAAAAATGCCAACACTACAGTGAAACATGGAGGGCATGAAGAAGGAGAAAAAGGACAAGACACTCCCAATTTCCTCCATCTTGTCCCCTTTGAACCCCTAATCTAGAATCCTAAAATTTTACTTTTGCACCTGTGCCACAATTAATTATTACTCATATCAAACACTCAGAGCTTGTAATTCATCCTGTAAGATTGAAAACTCTTTTCCATGGACAGAGATCACAGACAGTGTCTCTGGGGGCTCTGTACAGGGGGGTTCCCGACCCCCTGCCAGGGTCCCAGGCCTTCCAGGGCAGCCAGAGGGAAGCCCTGGATTCCCACAGCAGGTGTTCACCCTCAGGGAACTGGATCAAAGCCCACCAGCTCTTCTGAGCAATGTTCACTTGATTGTGGTGCTGTTTGAAGACATTTCTGCCCCTTAGGCAAAGATGACCCTTCTTGCACCCCTGGTAACTGAAAGGTCTCCAGGAACATTTCCAGTTTGCTTCAGGAGAAGACAGAAAATATTCTTGGGATGGCAATGGCTAACGTGAAGGTACTGGTACACAAGTAAGGGTGACACCACATCTGCACATCATACATAGCAGACATACACAGAAGAGCACATCTGTTCCTTTCCTTATAAAAGCAGAATCACAGCAAATCAGCCCAATTTGAACCAGTCTAGGCAACTTTTGTGTATGTGAAATTCCCTGTGTACAAAATCAGAAAATCATTGACGTTGGAAAAGACCTCTGAGATCACTGAGCCCAAACTTTAATGATTACTGTCACAATTGCAAAACATGGAAAGGTAGAAATTATTTTTATGTATCCAAAAGAAGTCCTTAAAAGATGATATTTTGGCTATCAAATATTAAAAGAGACACTGTATGCTTTCTACCCTTTTCTCTTAGAAGAGAGAAAATGTTCTGTTAAGAGTCAGTTTTGACCAATCAGGTTGCATCAAATTTCAATCTCTTTCAAAGGAAAATGTTTTTACCATCTATATTATCCAAACTTCTTTTTCTGCATTATCACTGCTGCCACACCGTGTTTTCCTCTTTCATCATTTTTATGAAGAGAGCTCCATCACAAAATGTATACCAGGCTACAGCCACCCTGGTTTCAGCCAGAATTAATTGAGAATGTGGCTTATGCTGAGTTCTCAAACATTTTCTCATCAGAAATGTCTGTTTCACTGACTTGGAGCCTTTCTCGGGAAGGTGTTAATTCTTTTACCAAATTTCACATAATAAAATCCTAAAAATACCCAGCCCATGTTTTTAATTTCAAAATTGCTTTTGTTTAAAAAATATTTTTCATTGTGTTATGGCAGAAAACAGAAGAGCTGATTTGAGAATAAATTATCTGATATAATTCCTTTTTGTATGGGAAATTTAAAGCTTTTGTATTGTTTCTCAGAACAAATGAAGTCTTCAAGTGACTGTTAAAAGTTCACATGGCTTAGAAATTTCCTATTTCAGGTAAGAAAGAGCAGCAAGAAATCTGTAATTAGCTTCATATTTTGGGGAATTACGATACGTGCTATTTCAAATTTAAAAAGGTATTTGAAGATCAGGTTTTTGGGGGTGTTTTTTCCCCTGTGTGACACTGTAACAGTTAATCCAATTAAGTCATCTGTGGTATGCTTCTTGTTACAATAAAGCAAATTAATTTTCTTTTCCTGTTCCATTTTGAGAGAAAATCAGATTTCCTAATATTTCATATCAGTGAGAGCTCAGGAGAGTTGCAGTGGTCTGGTAGCTCTTAATGATACCTATTAGTTTTTTTCTCTAGTTTTCCAGATCAAGATATTCGCAGGGCAGCAGTCCAACAAATGGAAAATGTGTCAAATGATGAATTGCTAGAATACCTCCCACAGCTGGTTCAGGTAAGGAGGAAATTGATAGTTCAGGAAGCCTTCAGTCCAGATCAATAACTTCATTAAATATTTTTGATGCTTTCAGGTTAGTTAAGACATTGTAAGGGGAGCAAATAAGTCTTGTCAACTGATGCCATGAGTGGATTAAAAACAGGCCTGAGGGAGAGACTGGTTCCAGCTTAGGATAATGGAATTGTTTTAGCATTTTGATTGGGCTCTTATAGATAGCATATGAAGGTATTTTTAAGTAACAAAGGAAAGTAAAAAGTGCATCTGAACAAGAGAAATTCTGCTCAGGTGACAGGGCTTCATTGCAGTCGAGGAAGGCAATGCTGTTGCTATGAAGTTTTTAATCACTGGGTTTTTAAAACCATATATACTAAGAAAAACACTGTCAACAAGGACTTAAGTGGACATTTGGGTTTGCAATTGCCTCTTTAGAGATGTACACAGCATTTCACTGGAAATTAATGTTTTGCAAGTTATGGCATCACTGCTTTCAAAGCACCTGGTGATTGAACAGGTCCTGTGTTGGGGCTGAGCAGGAACTTTTGGAAGCTTTATCCCCTCACTTGGTACCACAGTGCATATGGATGACCCACTATCCACACTGCAGAGTTTCTCAGGGGTTCTTTCTGTGTTTGTGATATCTGCTTATCTAGATAGATATCTCTCTATGCACTTATGAATATATTCATGTAATCCACTACTGTGAGGCAGCAGAACCTTCACAGCTTTCCAGCATGCACAAACTGCAGTGACCTTTCACCTTCCTCAGCTTCTGTTCTAAAATAAGTTTATTTTCCAAATCAGATAATCAGACAAAAAAAAAACCAAAATATAGCAGTGATAGTTTTAAGTGCGGGGAGACAAGATGCATATTTATATTCATGTTAACACAAAATCAGGATGGTGTCTGTCTGTCTTACAGGTGGTGGTAGATCTTTAGGAACTGAAGTTTCCCTGCTCATTGCATTGCCAGAGCAAACTCTCCATTGTCTGATTGCTTTGTTCAAACTAAGCACTGGGTGTTTTCTGTTATAAAGGAAAGACACCAAAGCCAGCACAAAACTGATTTTTATTATAATTTTTTCTATTAAGGTGCTCAAGTTTGAGTGGACTCTTGAAAGCCCTCTGGTGAAACTCCTGCTGAATCGTTCTCTTCAGAGCATCCAAGTAGCCCATCAGCTTTACTGGTAAGACCATTTGCCATTACAGTCATTTTCTGTCATATTGGAACTTATCCATTGGTGATAAACCCTCTTTTGGTTTAAAATCAACAGAAAAGCTAAGTTTTGCTTCTTCCCTTTCAGCACTGGGTATGGGTGACTTGTATAAAAGACCTGCTTATCTCTGCCTTCATCCTGGCCCTGGGCAGGAGGAAGAGGGGGAAGTTCTGCCATTTGGTTTTTCAGCTTTTTTTTTTTGTTGTTTGAGCCAAAAGTAGCCTTCTCCAAAATTTACAATCATTGGTTCACTTTCAGAGGAGGCTAGTTGCTTTTGTGATTTCCCTGACCTCTCCTGAAGTTGTCAGAATTGTCATGTGTGTCAAAATATGTCTTACCCATTTTTTATATCAGGTTTGTGATGGTAGAGTTTCCAACAGTTCCTTTTCATGACTGTGAAGGTGTACCAGGGCTGTCAGAAATTGCCATTCACCACCTACCTCCAACATAAGGGGTCCTCTTATTGTATTATTGAATTACTCTCTTTGCTGTCTGTTACCTCAAGGCTCTCTGAGAAAGAGTGTGGCTTTTTGATGTCTCAACATCTGCCCTGTGATCTGAAAATCAAATTCTGGTGTGATGTTTGTTTTCCCTCCCCCCATCTTTAGTAATGATGGATGAACTGAGCTTTCATTTTCACATCCCTTAAACCAAAGCTTTCCTCCCTGCAAAGGAAAGAAAACAATTTGAAATGTAGTCATTTGGCTGATGAAGTGCGGGGTTGGGAAGAGATAAATAATACTTTCATACCTGCATGGTCTCTGGAAGTGTTAAAGTGGGGATAAAACAGAATTATTAATGTGTTTGTTTTACTGAAACAGGTAGGATAATGTGCTTAATGAGCATATCTTTCAAATAAAGAGGAACCACATTTAGCGAGCCATTTTTCGACAGTGCCTGAAATACGCCTGAGACAATTTCTACTAATATTAAACTTAGTCATACTGTATATAAAATATCTAGTCTGGAGTTTTAAACATGCTCTCAGAACTGGTAGTTTTCCTGTGAAATTAGAAATTATATCTAGGGTTCCGTGGACAGGGGAACATCATTAATTTGCCTGTGTTTTCTTTAAGTCCTCTCTTTTCAGAGAAAAATTACTCTCTGCAGTCTTCTTCCTCTTTACTTCCCAGTGCAAATCCCTATTTTTCCTCAAATTTTGCCCAAACTGTCTAATATTATTACCTTAGGTAATATAGAGCAGTTTTTCCATCCTGAATATATATGTTTATCTGGCACAATGCAATGTAAAGTGGCATAAAAAATTTATTTTATGCACAGCTTAATGTATAAGGTAACTACATCCACATCAAGTAGGTTATTTCTCAAGGCTCCTTGTATTTTCTGCCTTTCAGCTGAGTTCATGCTGGGTACCTCTTTTATTTAAGTGTTTAGTTCATATGTTTCAAGCTAAACTGAGAACATAAATGGAGCAAACATCTCTTAAAATTTGGTGCTTGTATTCATCATCTACACTTAGGGGTTTTTTGGTTACTCTGCTCCACTCTGTTCTTCAGGAGTAAACTCTTTTCTACCTAGCATTCCAGTTTATGTAATTACTCATATTTCTGCCTCCTGTATTTTAAAAGACAGTCTCCCAACCCATAAATTCTACTTACAAAGTTTACCAGTAATTTCGTGGCTTTTATTAATAAAGTCTTAAATAATTAATAAAGTATTTCCTTCCCAAATTGATTTTCAGTCGTTATAAAAGTAATGGAAAGCAGAGGTTTTCTTCCACTTGTTTCTAAAGAGGCTTTTAAAAGAAGTTCAATGATTTAATAATGTGGGGAGTACATGTGCGCATGTACACTCAGATAACTTCTTTTAAGAAACATGATTAGGTTACATTTTATTCTCAAGTGTCATGTTCTGTTTCATTACCAAATTAGCTATCAAGAAGCAAGGGCTGGTTAAAAAAACCAAAAAAACCCCAAACCTTTAATAACAAGTTATTTGGTTTTTTGTTTATTTTAATTGTAATGAGTGACATTACAAAAGAAATACTGTTAAATAATACAAGAGTGTTCACACTGTACTTGCCCAAAATAAAACTTGGAAAAGAAGGCTAATGCAATATAGAAAACTGCTGAAGTTGTTTCAGAGCCACAGGGGAAAATTCAACTGATTTAGCTTCCATGTGTTAGAATACCATTGTAAATTTAGAAATTACTAGAAAAGTTGATGACTGTGGACACTGTAACTTATTTTAATGACAAATAGTATTTATAACAAAATGTCAATCATTTCAAATTGACTCAAGTTCCCTGCAGATCAGAGATAAGCAGCTACCTAACAATGGTGTACCATTTCATCACTTTTTTAATATTAATGTTGGATAGCAAATTTTTCATTTTTTTTCATCAAGCAGTAGTAAGTTCGTGTGAAGATTTTATTTAACAGTTCTGGGGCAGTAACTGGCAAAAGTGGGCAGAAGAGAGAATTTTCATTCTTGGGACATATCTGTTGTCAGTCAGGATAGTTTCAGTCTGTCAGGATAGTTTCAGTCTGTTCTTTGCTTGTAGCTGTTGCAGACTTGTTCCATTAATTCTGCTCTTGAGAATGAGAAAGATCTTACATCCTGTTTGGGTGTTTAGGTTTTCTGTTATCATTTGTGTCCTTTCCATTCTCCAAATTCTTGAGGAATCTGGGCCATTGCATCCATCAGTGTTTTCCTCCTCACTGTACTTCTGAATGCCTTCCCAAGGAGGCTAAAATTTGCCCATGCATACTGTGCCAGCACAGGGATCATCATGTACCACTTAATCCCATTTTAGTCTTATTTCAGGACTTCCCAATGTCCATGAGACATGGAGAATGATCCCACTCCCTTCCAGATGTTCTCTCTGATGCTGGTCCCACCAGAGCTCCTGGCAGGCAAGAAGGCTGGAGCAAGTTTCCCCATTCCCTGGAGCCATGGTGACAAGTTATTAAACTGGTTTTAGCAAAGCACAAAAAGAAACCTGCTGAGCCCTTTTGGGCCCTTCTGCTCGCTGAAAGTCAGTGCTTTTCTCCTTGGTGCTTGATGTTTCACACACAGGTGGGTTTTTGTCAGCTTTTTGTGCTGGAGATTTAATCCACCTGGCGTCCTGCCAGTTGGTTTCTCTCTTGCTGGAGTGTTTTTGGCTTTTAGCTGCTGTCACAGGTGGCAGCTGCAGCGTGGAGTCAGAACAGCTGGCTGGGGCAGCAGGTGGCCAGGAGAATGTTTCACAGATGGTTGCCTTGCACAGGAAGATGGAATAACTGGGGGGAAATGTCCTCCAGGATCTGGAGCAGCACCACCCTCATGGAAGAGTGGGAGTGTTTGTAAATTCCTGAGAATCTGGTTTGCTCAGCTCAAGGAAAGGAAAAAGTCAGGTGGAAACCTTGCTGAAGACAAAATGTCCTTTTGTAGCTTGTCTTCTAAGTCACTTAAACTTTAGAGAACTTTCCCAGTTTTTGGCATTTCTGAACTGCAGGTTGACTGACAAGAGAAAAGGGAGTCATCTTCTATCTTTTCCAAGTCCTCATCTTGTAGAAAAGTAAGAATGTGAGATTAAAAAGGAACTTGGTGGAATCCAGCACACTGGAAACAGTGTGAATCAGACTACTGATTTTATGGCTAGAACATATTTTTTTTCCCCTATATATACAGAAAAACTACTATAAGAATCTAAAATGAGCATAGCAATGTATAAAAGTTTAAAAAGACCCAGTTACACTATCTGCTCTTGGGAGGTTTGTATCTCAATGCCTTTTTCTCCAAAATCATTACCACTGTTTCATTCAGAACTCCAATTGCCTTGTATTTTCTGAAAGGAAATATATTTTTAACCATCAAAACTGGTTTGTGTTAACCATAATTTACTTAAAGTGCTCAGAAGAAGGAAAAAATCAAGCTCATTTGTCCAACACTCTTAATTATCTGAACATTAAACAGATGACCATCCTCCAGATCTTTTTCTTCCTGCATTATCTTATCCTTCTCTGACAGTCAGCAGTTATTGAGTCTGCTAATTATGAAATTAACTTCCCAAATTGTTGTGCAGAGCAGGCTGAAAACTCCAGCCCATTAAAATGACATGAATGTAAACACAGAAGATGCCTGTTCTTGTTTTTGCATTAATTTAGTCCATTTTACTGAGCAGAATTACAAAAAAAAAAACCAAACAAAAACAAAAAAAAAAAAACACCACCAAAAAACCATTTAATCATATGTGTAACTTTGAACCTGTACAGGAATACCCAGTCCAAGGATATTTTTGATTCAGCTAAGTAGCTAAGTGGTGATTGTGAATGTCATTGGAATTCAGAGTACTTGGTGTGATTGTTATGTTTTGGACTGCAGAGAACCTCAGCCATAGATCACACCTTGGCATTCTAGTTCTGAAATCAGAATTCTTGTTTATGGAATACCAATTATTTGGAGACTTTTTTTTTTTTCTTTACTTACTTAAGGGTCTAGTAAATAAGACCATTAGAGCATAATTTGTGTCAGATAATGATTCAGCCAACTTCTGTGCTGAGTGCTTCATTATTGGCTGTGTGGGCCTTGGGTTATTGCCTTGTACAACAGACAGATAATTATTTTGTTTCCTAATTTACAGACTTTCCATTTTCTTGGACTCTGGTTTTAGAAAAAGATGATGGCAAATGTGAACAAGTAACAACTGTTGGGTTTGACCTTTAGTAGTTACAGACTTAGTGAGAAAATGGTATATTTAAATCAACAAAACCATATCTTACATTTAATTAAACACATTTTAGATCTTAAGGAAAAAAACTTAGTACTTTAGGGTCACTTTTTGCTGTCTCTAAAGACAAATGAGTGAACTGGCTTTGACCTCAACTGGAATTGATAAAAGGAATTGCTAGCTAGAGGATTAGAGGACTGTGGGGCAAGACCACAATTTAAACTTTCAAAATTCTAACAAAAAGGAAAATGAAAATAAATTCCAAAGAATTAAAAAATCAAATTGAAAACATGACTG